GGATTTTGCAAAAGTTCTTTCAATAATTAATCGAAATGAAGTTTTTAATTTTTTAAATATTTCTAATAAGCAACTGAACCAACCGAACCAACTAGATGAAAATGATGATTTTTCTGACTATTTTAATAATTCATTTCAAAGCAATGAAATAACAGATTCGCATGCAATTGCTATAGCAGCAAATAATGTAGTTAATTTTAATACCATAGTGATAATATTAAACCCGATTTAAGAGATGCATGTTTTGAGTTAACTTTTTTAATATCAGATACAAATTCTTCAAAAAATCATGGTTTAGAAATATATGAAAACTTTTATACTGGCATTACCAAAGTAGGCACTTTAGATATTCCTTATTTAGTTAATTTGCAAAAAAGTTATAAATGGTACAATAATCAGGATATAGAGCGAAAGACTATCTGTAGAATTCAAAGTCTTAATCATACAAATGCTGTTTCTCCAAATATAATAAGTAGTCTAATTGCAAGTTATACATCAAATTGCAGAATTCGGTGGAAAAATCGAAGTCGTTTATCTGTATTATCAAATACAAATAAAAAAGTTGGTAAGTAATAATTATAAGAATACTTTTAATACTTAATTAATAAATTTATTTTTAAAATTTAGATCTAAATAGAATAACTGTTGCTAATGTTAGTGAACATAATCCTCTTCACAAGCATAGTTATGGATTTTCTTATATTAATAATGAACTTTGTCTTGTACAAATTTTGGCACTATATCAGAAGAATTCTAATTACCATTCTTATATGTGTGGTGATGTAGTCAATATAGATTCATTATCTTATTTATCGGTAAAGGTTTTTTTTCTACTTCGAAATAATATTTTTTCACCTCTAGCTAATTCTGGACACATGGTTTTTAGTCATATTAGTGTTAAGTTTTTCATTTATTTTCTTGGATTTGGTGATTTTATTCACGTTGATGAGCAGCATAATTTGATAACTCTTTTTAGAAAGGCTTTAAAGTTATATAGGTTTTTTAATGAATACTCTACAAAGAATTTGTTACGAACTATTGTTCATTCAGAGGTAGTAAGGGGTTAGATTTAATGAATACTGTGTAATAAATCAATAGAATGATAAACTCTTTGAGCTGATTCTGCTATCTTGGCAGATTTTAATTAGTTCGAAATATACTTTTTTTGATTATATCAGTTTAATTTACCGTACGGCGCTGACTACAGTACCCTCCTGCTAAAATACCCCCTATAGAAAAGACCTGGGTACATTTCATGGGTTCGGATTTGTGAGTATAGAATAGTACCCAGATATAGCGCAAACCATAGTACTCCCTTATTAAAATACCCCCTTCAAAAAAGACCTAGGTATAATTTATGCTTTATATTTAGAAAAATAAAGTTATACCAGCACTTAGCATTATTAAAGTTAATCACGATAAAT